ACACTTGCATTTGACTTACAAATTGTTTATAGACACTTTCATAACGTGGATGCAGGTAGGCAGCGTCTCGCATATATCGCTCTAGCCATAAAATGTCGAAACCATAAGCCTACTGCACCTCTATCTCTATCGGTGGGAGGTAGAAACTGTGTACTTCCTGTAGTCAAACGCTCCAAGCGCATGCATATGAGAGGACCACAATCCCCTCTGACTTCCTGCGTTTGTTGTGGCACGATCTCGTCTCTGATAACTGTAACATTGAACTTCTTTGGCTTCTTGTTTCCAGAATAAGTCCAATAATTAATCGCATCCAAGAATTTAGCCAAATGAGAGCTCCATCCCTTAATAATATCTCTCAAATCAGACAATGATATGTAATTTATCATGATGTCATATACTATTGTCTTCAGGGATGGGAGTTGAAGCTCGACGAGAAGGCAATGAGCACGTTCCAAAATAGGGATAAACACCTGCAATCATAAGTAATAATTCAAATTGCACACTTATTTATAAACACCTTTAAAATATTTAAAAAATAAATATTAACCTTATCGACCTCCCACCATGCAGGATAAAGTTTAGCTTGTATATTAGCCAACACATATGATTCATGTCATTGATTCTTCAAGTGAACTACGTAAAAAGACGTCGGTATAATTGTATATCACGTATTTTTTTTTATTTTTCCTCAATTTCCTTACTATTAGAAGACGTGACACACATGCATCAATATGTTGTTTTACAAAAAAAGACATATATTAGTGAATTACATAAATTTTAAAAAAAAATTAATCAAAATGAAATATAAGAAGAAATATAAGACTTACCCCCCATCGAAATAGCCTTTGTCTTCAACCCCTAATAACACACCCCACCAAGACCGATCAATCAACAAATGCATATCATCGTTGAGTTTGTATATGTCAGCGTAACACCCCTGGCTCCGCTCATGTAGATAAAAATCAATTGCGGTCTTAGCCCAAAGGGTATTATCCAGAATTGTTTCCGGTAGTTGTCTCCTCTCCACTTCATCTGTCGGAATGGTACTGGCCGATAACTCATACGAAAGCCAACAATCATCCATCATGTCCGACACGTGAGGGAGTTTCTTAATAATTCGACATATTACGCCGTATGAATCGGGCTCTTGAATGGTGGGAGGGACCTCTTCAACGATGATAGGGGCCTATTGAACGGTGGGAGGGGACTCTTGAGGGATGATAGGGCCCTCTTGAACGATAGGAGAGGCCTCTTGAATGATGACAGGTGAGTCGGGCTTCTTCTTACGGAGTCTTCGCACTATTGGGGTGAACGGAGACGTAATGGCACGTGCACGCTGTCTGATGCGTGAACCCCGTCATGCAAGAAAAACCCGACGTAAAGCATCCACCTTATCGGGCCGCTAAAAATAAATTAATACATAAATCAGTAAATAAACAGACATGATATTAAACAGTTAAAACAAAGACAAATATGTTTCAAACTTGCACGGTATTCACCCAAGTCATTATTCTATCATAGTTCACAAAATGCATCAGATAACATTCTGGAAGTAAACACTTATATATATATATAAACATTTAAAAGGATAGCATATAGGTTTAGTGCATGTTCAAGAACAATATAAAGAGTAGTAATTTATTCTTGAAACTTAAATTTGCAACACTGTGAAGTTAGTATTTGTCTTTTTCTTTTGGTTGAAGTAATGCAATCCATTCAAGTTTCAATTTGCAGAAGAAGAATAGTTTCTAAAACTTAAAATCGCAACACGAAACTTAAAATCGCAACGCGAAATTGACTATCGCAACGGGATAATCGCAATGCGAAATAAAAATCGCAACGAGAAACCAAAATCGCAACGCGAAACTAAATTCGCGTTGCGATTTTCATTTTCGTATTGCGATTTTCACGTTGTGATTTTTATTTCGTATTGCGATTATCCCGTTACGATAGTCAAATTCGCGTTGCGATAATCCTTTTCGCGTTGCGATTTTTAAGTTTCGTGTTGCGATTATTCTTCTTCTGCAAATTGAAACTTGAATGGATTGCATTACTTCAACCAAAAGACAAAACAAAGAAAAATACTAACTTCACAGGGTTATTTTAGAACTGTTTAACAGTATTGGCAGCAACCGAATGAATTTCCTAAGCAATCTAAGTGAAATGGTTAATCTAAGTGAAATTATGAGTAAATCAAGTTAAATATGAAAAATCTTAAACTTACCTCGTTGCGTAGAGTATGAACCTCATTCTACAACGATGCTACCATCTCACATAGAGTCGCTACCTCACCACGTAAAGTAGATACCTCATCACACTATGCACCATTGTCATCGCGTAAAGTACCGACCTCCTCACGTAACTCCCCTAACTCATCCCGTGGAGATGGAGAACATGGAGATAAATGTCGTGGCATCTTTTCCGGTCGCCTATCATGAGGTGATGGTGGAGAAGAGGCTCGATGATGTGACGGAATAGGTGATGGCTCTCATTGTAGAGGTATATAGTGTGGTCGATCAGGTGATGGCTCTGGGTGAGGTGATAGCTCTCGAAGTGGAGGTTGCTCATCATCCGTGTCATCAAAAAAACGCTTACTAGCTTGCCACCAATCAGTGGCAAGCTCAGCCTCCATGGGTGTCAGCCTCTGTAATGGAGTGTTGGCCTCCTAACAATATAAAAGCTCAAAAAAAGTTAAACGTGTACTAGTAATAACTAGTTTATATATGGTAGTATTTGTGTTAACTTACATCATTTATTGTCGTATACCGTAGTAACTCTTCCCAAATCAACAGTCATCGTTTCCTCTTCCAGGAAATAGCTCTAGGAATATCATTTGAAGTTTTTAATGCATATGTCTGCATGTCAGGAAAAGCCTCAAATATCCAAATCTACAAAAACAATATAATACAAAAACATTAGTAATTGTTAAATAATTAATTATAATTTTGGAAACATTATATAGAAATTCTTACCTTAAAGGCCCAAATAAAGCCTGATAAAGTGTATTTGGAACCATCGCCACGCAAACGTTTGCGGTCATCAAAGGCAGACGACAACTTATTCCAGGTAGCTTTCCATAGATACGAACCCCACGAAAACATGTTCCATGCATTTAGGTCCTCTACCAATAATATTAGGTCCTTAGGAATAGGTTGTCTGGCCTCTCTGTCTAAAAAGCCGGCATGCAAAAGTACTAAAAGGCATACTCAGACAACATCGACGTCATCCATCCGAGTAAAACCATCTTTCTTATTCAATAATCTCGTCAATTCGTCGACGTGTAAATTCGGCTTCTTCATTGACAGCTCAGGAAAAACCCAAGATAACCATGATGGGCAGGTAATATGACTAGTGTATCGACCTACATCATCGTGTCCGAAGCGTAGACCAGTGATTAAGCAAAACTCCTCCCGCCCAAAACACGTATACGTCGGTGGAAAATGAAACCATATCTCTTCATTACCACATTTTATACTCTCGGGTAGATCGCTAGTCATGGTCTGAAGCCACAAATGGGTCAACATAGCATCTCCACCCGGATGTTGTACTTTCAGCCATGACCCGAAGCAAGTATCCTCAAACAATTTTCTTTGTACAGGTGAAAGTTTCGACGCAATTGTAGTGACTAGGCTTATTTTATTCCTTAAGGTCAATTAAGCCGAAAAAAAATTCTACAAAAACAATAAACATACCAAGTTAGATTAAAAACTACACTGTGAAGATATACAAAAAACAATAATAAACATAAAGAGTAGTAGTAGTTTATTCTTCAAACTTAAATTTGCAACACTGTGAATTTCGTATTTGTCTTTGTTTTTTGGTTGAAGTAATGAAATTCATTCAAGTTTCAACTTACAGAAGAATAATAGTTTCTGAAACTTAAAATCGCAACACGAAAATGAAAATCACAACACGAAAATGACTATCGCAATGCAAATTTGACTATCGCAACGAGATAATCACAACGCGAAATGAAAATCGCAACACAAAAATGACTATCGCAACGCGAATTTGACTATCGTTGCGATTTTCATTTCGCGTTGCGATCCTCGGTTTCAAATAGTCATTGTCTAAAATTGAAACTTGAATGAATTGTATTACTTCAACCAAAAGACAAAACAAAGACAAATACTAACTTTACAGGGTTAAAGACTAAACAATTTAGCAATATTGGCAGCAATTGAATGAATTTAATAAGCAATCTAAGTGAAATGATTAATCTATTATTGAAATTACCAGTAAACTTATCATCAATTTCAATATGAAAAACCTAATAATAATGCAAAAATTTCAAAATAAAAATAATTAAAAAAACTAACCCTCGGTGGTTGATTTAGTTGATTTTCCATTTCTGATCGTGAATGATTGTGAGGGTGGCTCTGAGATGGAGATAGACGGATTTCGCCGGAGATGGGGACGGATTTCGTCGAAGATGAGGACGGATGTCGAGAATGGAGATGGGACTGAGTTGTGATTTAGGGTTTTAGGTTAAGAGTTGCGATTACGGGATGTATTAATATTCGTGTTTGGAATTTGAAAATAAAATACGCGTTGCGATACTAATGGCGCTTTGAAAATCGCATTGCGATTTTGTATTATCGCGTTGCGATAGTCAGAATCGCGTTGCGATTTACATATTCGCAACGCGAATTTGAAAAATCGCAATGCGATAGTCAAAATCACGTTGCGAATCTGGAAACTGATTTGCGATACTGGAGATCGCGTTGCGATTTAGAGATCGCATTGCGATTTTGTTGGTCATTTTGGCAAATCAAAAACAAATTAGTCAAAATCGTATATTATAAGAAATTTTCGGTCACTGAGATTATTTTCTCTTCTATTAAATACTACCAAGGACAAATACCGACACGTGTCAAAAGATGAAACATATTGTGTAATCTCAATCTATCACCCGCGAAACATATTACTATTGGTCTTATTCATCTCCGCGTTATGTCTCAAATAGTCCCCGGCCAAATATTTCACTTTATTTTCTTCATTTTTATTTCTCTCTCTCAATGTCCCCCAATCCCAAATATTTTCCTTCTATAATGAAATTTAACCCAAACGAAACAAAGAATTAGAGCCCACAATGCGTCCTGAATCAAGCTCCGCAACAACGTCATCGTCGACGACGCCGTCCCCGAGTCGGAAGCGAAACAGAGACCCCGAAGATGAGGTTTACGTCGACAATCTCCATTCTCACAAGCGTTATCTAAGTGAGGTTTTTTTTTTCTTCCTCCATTTTATTTCACTCGTTTTTAAAATACCCGAATTCTCAGGTTTTAATATTTCTTTAATTCTATCCTATTAGATATTAGTAGTGTAGAAAGTTTGATCGTCTAATTTTGTTTTCCCCCCCTAGGTTAATTAATCTGGGTAGTTGACATTTCTTTATCTCGGTTTCTTTTTTTGGGAATTTGCATTGAAGTGTTTCAAGTATTGCGAAATTGAAGTATTTGCTTGCAGATAATGGCGTCTAGTTTGAACGGATTAACAGTTGGGGACCCACTTCCTGAATATCTCCTGGAATCTCCTGCTAGATCCGAAGCTACGTTCTCTCCCAGGTTAGTTGTTGCAGATATTAAAACATTCCATATAACCAAATCCAGAATTATGAAAGATAGAAGAGACTACATGTTATGATCCACCCTTGGATTTAAGCTACTAATTGATTAATGTTGATAACTACACCAGCTTGTTATACATGCTTTTCTATGTTGATCAATGACTTGAAGATAGTAATACATCGAAACACATTGTGCAATATCTCTCTTTGGCATTGTGCCCATGTGGGAATCCATCTTTTCTAACAAGATGCTGATATTATGTCAATCTTGCATTAACGCGTGATACGATTTCCCGGTGATTCTTGTGTTGAATTGTTCACTGTGACTGGACTGCATTCTATGAAGGTCTCATTTTCAATTTTTATGCGACGAGGATGGATTGTTTTTGTACGAGGTTAACCACTTAGGCACTTGGATTAGGTTTCAAATGCTTAGTTTTGTTAGCACTTCCGTATGCTAATTTCGAACTTAATATTTGTATGATTTGCTTTCAACGGTGTAATATCTGTTTCTATGTTTCTTCTGACAATGTGACTAAGCTTTTGCATCTTTTTAAAACTCAACCTCATTATTGTTTCTAGGGATGAGATGACATGGCAATATTCACCAATGTCTGAAGATTCAGATGACTCGAGATTGTCCGAGACACCTATGAACACTTCCTTCTCCCATCCTGATAGTCGGCCTACGAGTCCTGTTTCTCCATATAGATATCAAAGACCACTGAACGCATTCTGCTCCACTCCTCCAACCAGTTCACACCATTTACCTGGAAATGTCGGCGCTGGTACTTGTTCGCAGCCTCGCAAAAGAGGGTCCGATACAGAGGTCCGGTTTCCATCCTCACCAAGTGATATTGTCCACTCCTCTGATTTAAGGAGGGCAGCACTCATGCGGTCTGTTCAGATGAAAACACAGTCAGCTGGTCAATCATCATTAGAATTGCAATTTGGTCCAGGTCAAGAGTATCCGCCTAGTATCGAAGTTGAGGAACGACGATGTTCATGCGTGAAGTCTTTAATCGGTGATAGAGAATATCAGATTGAAGAATGTTCCTCACAGGGTATGTCTGATCCTGAATTTAGTCAAGGGAAATCTTGTGGGGTGTCTAATTTGAATTTGAAAGCGGATGAATCTGGGAATTAGATGCTTTGAGAAATCTTCGCTTGCCTTTTTCATATCAGTATGCTTAAAAGCACCAACGAAAATCCATTTTTATTTTCTATTATATTACTAATTTGATCTCAATAAAATATTTTTTATTTATATATTTAATTATAATTATAACAATATTTGATAGTAATGATTAAAGTGATCATGAAATTTGTGAAAGCAGTAAGAGGAAAAATTGCTCACGTTTATATGGTAACAGGCTTATCTAGGAAGCTGTCATAAGCAAATGCCGTATATTTGATACTCAAATTCTAATGAACTCATTCTAGCAATTTGCTGCTGCCTACTGAGAAATTCACAACTCAGATACTTTGATGTCGGAAAGCTAGCACCTGCCTTCTGAGGGTGATCTTCAAGGTGAAGCAAGCAATGATGCAGAAGCTGCAGGTCATTGACACAAATCTTCTTCATCCGTATTTCCCTTTCCAAGTAAGTAAAATGTCCACCAATTTTAAACGCCAAGTCATCATCTTCAGCATTGCCATTTTCGGTCATTGCCGTTGAGGGAGACTAACCTTCTTGTAAACGGTCTGATCATTTGGACTCATCCATTACTATAGAGTTAAAGCTAACTATAAGAATATCTACAATGTTAGTATGAACCAACTTACATCATGCCTTAATGTTTACTCAAACTATATATTGGCAAGACCTACCAAAAGCAAACCATTTATTGAATGGGTTGAAATCAGAAGAAATTATATATTTGATGACAAAATTATCAATAATTGTGTAAATCAAACGCACTATTAATTGACACAAACGAAACGGTTCCTCTTCTATGGTTCAACTAAGCTTAAAAAAGTTGCCTTCCAAATATGATATTCAAATCTGTACAGAAAATTTCCATTTATATGAGACTAACCTCCGCCTGCTTGCTGCTCACCCCTCTCTAGAGGAGCTTATGCCTTCCGCTTGTTACTACTAAACAACTAAGCCAGGAGAGGAAGATCTAGTAGCTAATCAGCGACTTCAACATGAAACAAACCTCCAGTGATTTCTGATTCAGACCTGAAGACACCCTATCCCTCCCAGAGTAGAGAGAAATTCATTTTAAGAGGAAGAATCTCCTCAGTATCATTAGCAAAATGTTTCATTTTCGTATCACATTTCTAATATGGCACTTAATTACCTATCACTATCGAGAAAATCTAAAAGCAACAAGAGCAAAGCTCAATGTGACTAGCATTGCCAACAAGAAAAGCGCTAATAAGCTTATTAGGACTTCAATTTCACTCAGATAATTACCTCTAGTCTTCATACATGTTACACTAACAGCTTACCGCAAGGGTGACAAACATGCATGACCACAATTATATTCAAATAAAATAAATTTAAAAAGATCTGCAAGATTGGAACCAATATTAATAGAAATGGTGAACGTTTCTTGCTTTTTTAGTATGGTCTTTGTGTCTGTCACACCATTCACTCTAAATGAGGCATCCATAACATCCTCTTTCAAGTTCACCAGACCCTCTAAAAGACCACATGATTTGCATGCAAAGTGTATTGCTGATTCTGCAGTCTCTAAGCTGATGTTCCTTCACTGTTACATAGCCCATTGATAATGCTTCCTTTCTTGACTTCTCAAGCTGGAAAAGCATATATTAACTCTTATTATGTTTTTCCCAAACGAATAGGTGGCCGTATGAAGAGGGAAAAAAGACATGGAAAAAGAGGAAGGAAAGTTCTATAGTCAAGAAAGAAAATACCTTAAATTCAATGTCACAACAATCAAGTCCATTTGGAACTGACCTCTTGGAAAACTTTGACACCTTGCCAAAAACTGAAATTGCTTTCTTCGACACGAGACAGTTGATTATAGAAAGAACATTCTTAATCGTAACAGAATGTGAAGCTCTGAAATTAGATTTTTTTGTCATTATTGTTCTGAAGATCTAGAGAAGGAACAGAAGACTTCGCAACTTTATGTGATACATCCTTGATGTTAAAGTGACTGTCTGCCTTAAAATGTGACCCATTTAGCTTCTTTTCAGCACCACCAATTTTCTGCATAAAATAGTGAATTTAGGTGGTGATCAAGTCACAGAACAACAGACAACATGGAAAGCGGAAATAGCAGTGAGTTTATTCATTAGACATGCACTAGCAGTGAGATGTCAAAAGGAAAATACACAAAAGAAAATGCAGGAACGATCGCGCACACACAGCCAGCTCAGACATAATTGGCAATAGAGAGAGGAAAGGGAGGATAATAAATACTTGGAATGCTTACCACAAAATGCTCAGTTCCTGTCTTCAGTTTCCGAATAATACCTCCAACCCTTTCCTCCGGTAAGCCTAATTCTGCAAAACCATCATCATCTGTTGAAGTATGCAATGACCGCTTTAAGCTCTCAAACCCTTTTGACTGGATCCTGCAACCACCCTTACATAAGATAACTTCTTATATAATATGTGCAAATAGATTCTATGAATTCCAGTATTAGATATATCATGCACAGAATTTATGTTCATATGAAACTTTGCATGTATATTTTGGTATCATCTTGTTGAGAATGATGACAGGTGATAAACTACAATTGAGTGTTAACGTCGACAAAAAAAAATCAGTGCTTAAAATTGAAGTGTTTTAAATTTAATGATGAAATTGATACTTAAATTAAAGATTTTATAGTCCTTCAAAACCTTATTTTAACCATTAATATATCAATATCAAAACGACATCCTTTTGGTTACATCATCACATTGACGAAATTTAAGTCCATATTATCGTATCATTTTCAAGTTAATATTTTAGTGGTATAATTGAAGATAAAACAAAAATTTAGTGCTAGTCATATCAATTTAAAGTTAAATGATAAAATTGACACATACAGTAAAGTGTAGTGGTGTCTGAAGTAATTTACCCTAATTTTAAATCGGTTTGTATATAAATTTTACATTTTCCAGGGAAGCAGATCTACGACGCAGGAAGACGGCGAACCCGTCCACGTGGCAAACCTATATTGGAGAAAACAAGAAGAAGCCTACGCTCATTGGCCAATTTTCTTAATAACACGTAGCCGAAGTTTTAGTCCCCAAAGTTAACTCGTTTGATCCCTCATATTTCGCTCCGCTTTCCCTTTCGTGACTGCTGCTGCCTTGTTTATTCTTTGTTTAAATGTTTTAAACACCAATTCCCAGTTTCGAAGCAGTTAAGCTGGGGGGAAAAACGTTCCATTGAGGAAAATAAAGTATAGAAAAGCAGAACCAAAGCTTTGGAATCCCTTCCCGTATTCTCTCTCTTGAAAGATCATTCTTTATTTTGTGGGAATCGAAGATCTGATAACAGTTTTGTAAACATTTCATAAGTTCCGGAGAGATCCAGTTTCTCTCCTGATCTCGTATCCATGACGCTTTCTAGATCGAAGTTACTTTTTCTGTTGTTCACTTTGTCTTACGCAATTATCGCCATTGCAGGGTATGAGTTAACTTTCTCTTCTTCTTCTTCTTCTTCTTCTTTTTTTTGTTAAAGAAATGCGTTTTTATAATCGTGGGACTTTGTGATGATTTTGCTGCAGGAAGAGTTATTACGATATATTGCAAATACCGAAAGGAGCATCGGATGAGCAGATCAAAAGAGCGTATAGAAAGCTGGCATTGAAGTATCATCCTGATAAGAACCCCGGCAATGAAGAGGCCAATAAGCGATTTGCTGAGATTAGTAACGGTGATAAAAATTTGGTGCTTTATCATTATTATTTGTATTTTTGAAAAATTAGTTATGGAATGAATTGTTTCGATAATGATTAGCTTATGAGGTGTTGTCGGATAGCGAAAAGAGGGGCATATATGATAGGTATGGTGAGGAGGGCCTGAAGCAGCATGCTGCCAGCGGAGGCAGAGGAGGAGGAACGGGAGTCAATATTCAGGACATTTTCAGCTCGTAAGATATCTGAATTTTATCATTTGATTGCATTTAATCATCTTAATAGCAGTTGACTATTAGTTGAAATATTATTACAAATGATGACCCAAAATTTAGAAGCCAATCCATGCTTCTTAAGTTTATCTTGGGCATGCTAATGTTTCCCAAATTCAGGTTACTTACCATCTTTATTGTTGATTATGTTTAGGTTTTTAAGATGATGTGTGAAATCAACAATAAAATGTTGGTTATTGACTTATATTTTGGATGATGTACGTTATTGATGGTTTAAACATTTAAAAACCGCCTACCTACTGATACATTCATTTAGTTTAAACATGATTAGCCATCAATTTTTTAGGATTTTTATATTCATTTTAATGCGTATTTCTGATTTCAGACACCTATGATTGCTGACAGGACGGTGATTTCTTCAGGTTTTTTGGTGGAGGCCAGGCAGAAGAGGAAGAGAGAATTGTAAAGGGCGACGATGTAATTGTTGAATTGGATGCAACACTTGAAGATTTGTACTTGGGAGGGCCACTTAAGGTGAGAAATTATGTGCTCTGGTAAAAATTTCTTATCCTTGATCCAAATTGATAGCTTATCGGTGTTCAGTCATCTTGACTTGTGCGGAACCAAAGAATTTTTCACATACCTTTGACCTATTAATGTCTTAACTGAGCTGTTACTTATATTGCCTTATTGACCTGAGTAGCAGGTTTGTGAACAGAATCATGTATTTGAGTACACTTTTGCTTTCTCAGGATGTTAGTAGTTTAATTATATCCTTGTAATAATAGCTAAACTTGTACACGTAGATACTTCATCTCTCTCACGTGTTTTGTGGACCCTTAACAATGACAAGTCAGATTCTTTATTTCTTTTGAACATTAGTGTTTATCAGCTATAAGGCATCATAGTGTGTGGTATGATGCAAAATGAAGCCATGTAATATTCTGACCTTGTCAGATTTTTTAAGGAAATGTCAATAGTGTAAAAGAAAGTTGTTAGGCTGTGTTTGGAGCTAGTCATTTGTACTTGGCAAAAAATTTTCTTCCGACTGTTTTATTTCCTAGAAATCTAGTTTATTGCCTCTTTGTTCCCCCCTGCTTCATCTCTGATCATTCTTCTCAATGTTCTTACTTTATAGAAAAGTAACATTGATCTGGAATTCACCAGGTTTGGAGGGAGAAAAACATCTTAAAGCCGGCTCCTGGTAAACGACGCTGTAACTGCAGAAATGAGGTCTATCATAAGCAAATTGGTCCTGGGATGTTCCAACAGATGACTGAACAGGTACTAAGGCGTCATTGTCTTTCTTTTTATTGATTTTATGTTTCACACTAGTATGTACTTGATCTATTTCCTCTGCTTTTTTACACTGCTTTTCTTTTCTTAGGTTTGTGAGCAGTGTCAAAATGTGAAATATGAACGAGAGGGGTACTTTGTCACAGTTGATATTGAGAAAGGAATGCAAGATGGACAAGTAAGTTTCTATAGTTTTTTAATTTGTAATATTTTCTTGGAGTGCTTTTTGATACTGTTGTCCCTTATTCTTAATTAATGTTAAAAAATAGCAATGCATGAAATCTTAGGAAGTGATAGAGGATAAACTTATGTGACATGAAAAGTTTGTTGAATTGTCATTAATATTATGGACCGATTCTCTTAAAAAAGACAATTATGAGCAATATCTGAAATTCAGAATGATTAATCATGTATCTAGGTTTTCTGACGTGTTCTGTTGTTCCTTATTAATTCGGGGGTGGGGGAGGGAGCGGGCTGAGTAATGATATTTAGTAAAATCTTAAGAGCTTGTCTAAATGTGTAGCACATTGTTTGTGATGATTCATTCATTTGACGATTTTATTTGTTTCTTGTCCAACTATAACTATGGAATTTTGTAATTTTCATCATATTGTAGATTTATTACAATACTAGGAGTAGTATAGTTGCATATTCATCTAGCCATTACTGTTTTTAAATTCGGAATAATTTGTTCCTTTGCATCATACAGGAGGTGGTTTTTTATGAAGATGGTGAGCCTATAATAGATGGAGAACCTGGAGATTTGAAGGTTAGACTTAAACTAGTGATGAAAATTTTCCATTCAATGTAGCTCAATTATTGTGCTAATTGCTGGGCATTGGGCAAGACCGATAGATTTTTTTCCTGTCCAAATTTGTTTGCTGCCTCAGTAAGTATAGTGGAATTTTCTCATTCTTGCTCACGAAAGACTCCATTTTCTGCAGTTCCGCATTCGTGCAGCACCCCATGACCGGTTCAGGAGGGAAGGCAATGACTTGCACACCACTATCACTATAACACTTGTAAGACTCATTTTTTAAGCTCCACATGTCTCAATGTTTTGTCGTCCTTTCGAAATGCAGTACTATGAACTAATTTCTGTTTCCCGACTTGCTCTAGGCTCAAGCTCTTGTTGGTTTTGAGAAGACCATTAAACACCTTGATGACCATTTAGTAGACATTGGGTCTAAGGTAAGCATGACATGCCCCATGTACATTTTGATTTGGTTGTTTGAAATCAAAACTTTATCCAACGTAAGAAGTGATTTTGTATCGCATAGGGTATTACTAAACCAAAAGAAGTAAGAAAGTTCAAAGGGGAAGGAATGCCATTGCATTTCAGCAACAAGAAAGGAGATCTGTACGTTACCTTTGAGGTTTTGTTCCCCACATCGCTTACCGATGATCAAAAGGCGAAAATCAAGTCTATTCTTGGCTAGGATTAGAAGATAACCATAATTTTTTGGGGGAAGGGTTGGGTCATAAACTGTTCCTTTTGCAACATTTGATGAGGATACATATAAGCTATGAAATCTGGAGGGTTTCAAAATTTTCTTCATTCACTTTGTTACCATTGTGCTCCTTCCCCCATTAACATATTAGTTTGCAGTGTCTGAAGAATGAATACGTTAAAGTTCTTTCATTTAAATTTATTTTTATTTGATTACGTGATATAATTCATATTTAGAAATTTTGAAAATATCATATGATATACTATTAGGGTGCGTTTGGTTCACGGAATGTAAGATTAATAGTGAGAATGTAAGATTACTAGTGGGAATATAAGATTACCAGGGAATAGGATTACTGAGAATGTTGTATTTTGTGTTTAGTTAGTTTAGCAGGAATATAAGATTATCGTGTTTGATTAAAGGAATAAAAGATTATTGGAATGTATATTTTACCAAATTGTTCTTATTATATATTTGTTTTTTAACAAGTTAAAAAATATTTATATATATATTTTTAAAAATTTAAATTAATAAAATATATATATTTACAAAATTGACAATATAAAAAGTTTAATGAAAGGGTAAAATTTTATTTTAACCTTTGAATTTCATATAAAATTTTAATTATAGATTTTTTTTTGTAAATCTAAAATAGTTTAAGGATAAATTTGTAATTTAACATTCGTAGAATTTTTATTATTCAATGATAGAATAATGATATTTTTGAAAAAAATTAAGGGCATTTTATTTCAAAACGTCGGTAATCCAATAATACCTAAAGTAAATGAGGTAATGGCATTCACAATAATATACCTTAAAAAATATATTATTGGTAATAAAATATTATCAAGAATGAGATTCTCGACCAATTAAATATGAGAATATAAATTCCATTCCAATAAGAATCTCACATTCCTTGATTAAAACAGCCACTTAATGGTTGTTATGATATTTGTGCCCCTTCTTTTATCTCAAGTTTTTGTATAGTGTAGGGGTGTTAAAAGCATTTTGTATGCATAATTTACACGTGTTTATATGCAAATCCATGTGTGAAACATTAACGAATGGTACCAACTATCTCTCCCCCACCCCCCCCTCCCCCCCCCCCCCAAAAAAAAAATTAAAAAAGCTTGATGTCATGGACCCAAGTCCTCTAATGTACAAATATTAATATTTGATGTTTATTAATTTTCTCCAAGATGTATTAGTTATTCATACGAAATGTTTTCAACACTATTTCGTAGAATACGAAAAATAAAATGTTAAACTAACATCGAATATAAATATCTTAAAATCATTACTTGATATATTAGACTTCCAAATTTGCTCAAAATAAATCGAAATTCTCAGTACAACTTGGTTAGAAATTGTCAAAAATTTCAAAATAAATTATCACAAAAGAATTTAAAATTTACGTATAGCAAACAGTAATGACAAAAGTAAAATGAAATACTAATAGAAACACACGTGTCGCATTCTGGAAACGTCTTGTTCTGTAGATATCAAACTTTACGTTTAGTTTTCGAGTTTATAGTGCAGCGTAATCCTGTGACGTGGCAAACGAATATTATCCCCCGCACAATTTGGAAACAAACACGGCACGAACACACCATCCGAACGCCGCCGTTTCAATCTCATGATTAAGTTATTATAAATAGAAGATTTCCCCAAGGTTGGCTGCTCTTCTTTTGAATTTGATTATTATAATCGGGTAGAAGAAACAACGAAAGAGAGACGAAAACGATAGTAGTTATATTTCAAAAGATTGTTTGGTTACGTCAACTCGCTTTAGCGCCTTGCTTGTTTCCAGCCTGCTATTGCTCTGTGATTTTCTTCTTTATATTTTTACATTTCTGAAAAGAAGCTAAGGGAATCCAGGAACGGTAATGGATGGGCTTTGCTTGAAACCGGGGATTCATGGGATGGCGCCGGCGATCTCCGTGACTGGACCGGTGGAATGTAGGGCTCACACGGCGCAAGTCAGCGCCGTGGCTCGGTCTTCGGTGGATCATAGATCGGCATCGACGTCGTCTTCGGCGGCGGTTCCTCCGCAGAAGACGGCTTTTTCCAGGTTCTCGTTTCGGTACCCTTTGAGATCTTTGTGGTCCGTTGGTGGAGATGGTAATAATAAGCGGTACAACGGGTTGGCCGTCGACGACGCCGTTTTGGTGGAGAATAATAACTTGGAGGCGACGAAAGTACACGAAGAAGACACGAATGGTGGGACGACGGTGGATGGGCGGAATGAGAATTGGGTTTTGAAGATTTTGCACGTCAAGTCGTTGTGGAAAGAAAGCGAAGTAGAGGAAAGAAACAACGCCGACGAAGAAGAGGAGACCCAAGAAGAAAACAATGGAAACGGCGTCGTCAAGGGTGATGAAGAAATCTGTGAATTCTGCAGAGTTGATGATGATGGTGATGATGGTGATGATGATGGAAGTGAAGAAAAGGAGATTGAAATCGATAAAGATTCATTTTCCAAGATGCTACGAAGGGTGTCTTTAGCTGAAGCCAAGTTATACGCTCAATTGTCGTACCTTGGAAACTTGGCTTACGAGATTCAAAATATTAAGGTAACGAACTCTGCTGTTTGTTTTCCTTCATATTTTATTCCTTCATCTATAAATGTTGGAGACGTTTTTGTTTTATTGCTTTTCTCAATGGACATAGTTAATGGTCGGTTTCTGGGTTTCTAAGACCTGAAATTCAGTAATTCAATCTGTAATAACTTGCACCCAAACTGCAATTTTTTAATCTTTAATGCTTTTGATAAAAAATCTATTGTTTTTCTATCTTTGGTAGTCCTATCGTTTGTCTATGAAGAAATAACATGACTTTTCTTTTCTCCATTTACCTACTGGGATAAAATCAGCCTCAAAATCTCCTAAAAGATCGTGGTTTAAGAATGGTTACTTCATCATTAGTGGAGAGAGAACTGGGAATGAAAGTTGAGAAAAATAATGAGGAAATTGGTTTGTCATCTGAAAATCCAACCTCGCAAAGTAATGAGAAGGATGATGTAGAAGGACAAGAGAAGAAAAATCTTGGTGCCCGGATCAGTGCCTCTGCTGCGTATCAGATAGCTGCCTCTGCTGCTTCTTATTTGCATTCCCATACGGTGGCCATACTTCCTTTCAAGTCATCAAATCCTGAAAACAGTGAGGGCTCATCTGAAGATGGTACTTTAAGTGATGGCAGTTCTGATATGATAATCTCCGATGTGGCTTCTTTAGTGGCAACCACAGACTCTGTTACTGCCGTGGTTGCTGCTAAAGAAGAAGTGAAGCAGGCTGTCGCCGATGATTTGAACTCAACACATTCATCACCTTGCGAGTGGTTTATATGCGATGATGATCAGAGTGCTACTAGGTTCTTTGTAATTCAGGTTGGTAACATAACTACTTTTTAACTGTTACAGGATCCAACTTTTTTTATTGCCTTTTTCTTTTGCATTTGGTTATAATCAGATTGTGATGTGTATCTGTAGGGATCCGAGACTCTGGCATCTTGGCAGGCAAATCTACTTTTTGAACCTGTTCAATTTGAGGTAATTTCTAGAAAAATATGCTGATTTGCTGTTTGAAAATCTTTGTTTTGATTCGTAAATGCTAAAATGCTCAGAGAAATTTCATCATATTTCAATTTCCACATAAACCTTTTCAGATAAGAGAATCAGGAATTCTGAACATCTGCTTTGAGTATGCAAGTTAAAAATCATAGGGGAATGAGTAAAAGTTGTTTATTTCCTGTTACTGATGCTTGCAATAAAATCTTCTTGGTTTAGGGATTTGATATTCTTGTGCATAGAGGTATATATGAAGCTGCAAAAGGAATGTATGAGAAAATGTTGCCTCAAGTGCGTTCCCACTTAAAATCACATGGCAAGCATGCAGCTTTCCGCTTCACTGGGCACTCCCTTGGTGGCAGCTTGTCACTATTAATAAATCTCATGTTGCTTATAAGAGGTGAAGTGCCAGCTTCTTCCTTACTTCCTGTTGTAACCTTTGGTTCTCCAAGCATAATGTGTGGGGGTGACGGTCTTCTTCGCAAACTTGGCTTACCCCGAAGTCATGTTCAGGCAGTCACAATGCACAGAGACATTGTTCCCCGAGCTTTCTCTTGCAATTATCCTAATCATGTTGCACAGCTTTTAAAGGCTATTAATGGAAAATTTCGCCACCTTCCTTGTCTCAAAAATCAGGTAATGTTTCTGAAATATTAAAAATCTATATGCAACTATGGTATAATGTGCAGCTAACTCTTTGTTTTTCGAACTACAGAAGCTATTGTATGCACCAATGGGGCAAATTATGATTTTACAACCGGACAAGAAATTCTCTCCACATCATCATCTCCTTCCTTCAGGAACCGGTCTATATTGTCTATGTTGTCAAATGTCAGGTAATGATAGTGAAGAAAAGCTGCTCCGGGCTGCACAGAGAGCTTTCTTTAACTCTCCACATCCACTCGAGATCTTAAGCGACCGTTCCGCATACGGTTCTGAAGGAACAATCCAAAGAGACCATGACATGAATTCTTACTCAAAATGTGTTCAAGGCGTGATCCGTCAAGAGCAAAATCGCATCAGGAAGACAAGGAGAGAGCAGCGGCGCAAGGTCTGGTGGCCCCTCATTTTACCCCGTGAAATAAATGCTGGTGGTATCATTCTTGGGAGGTCAAGAGCAACAATGAATGCAGGTCAGGAACAATTCAACTTTGCCGGCGTTTTACACATCGGAAGAGAGTCGTTGAAACGATTTACCAGGCTTGTTGCATCACAGCACATGCACTTGCTTGTGGTTCTTCTGTTCCCTGCCAAGCTGTTACTCGTTGGTTCATACAGTTTGATCAGTCTTTAGCTGATGCCAGCTTATTTGGTAGGTCATCTGACGTTCCCTCCTAGGAAGTTTATACAGGTAGATGCACATGGCATGCTATATTCTTTGTTCATTGATTTAGAAAAGGATCCCTAAAAACGTTCATTCTTTCTTCTGTCTTATCTTCATTCAATCATATGGGAGTGTCAAATAGATTTATTGAGATATAACATTATGTGTTCATCTCTTTGGAACTGTTGTAGTTGATATTTCCTCTAGTATTTGCCCAAAGCCGACCTGTTTTCGCCGGGACTGGTCAGTGAAAATGATGGTCAAATTGATGGCTTTTGTGCCGTCCTTGCCGTGACGTACCAAAGAAATTAAGATATTGCTCCGGTGATATGAAACTATCATGGACAGTGATATTTCAACTTGATGGTTTTTTGAGTGGATAGGATTTAATTCAGCACGGGCAAATATCTGTGTCATTATTAGTCATGCAGAAAATATGTTACAAAATTAGGTACAAAATATGTCAGTATGCCACAAAATTAGGCAAACATCAATTTTGGAAGATCCGTAATTTTTAGGAAAGGGGAATGTCGTTCGAAGTTCATCCTACTTAAAATCGAATACAGCTGTTACCTTAAAATAAATTTATAATCTAGAAAAACAGCTTGTTGGTTTCATGGGAAGGAAGTAGAGGAGACATGCATAGTAGCAATGATAGAATAGAATCAGCCATTCCAACTCATTCTTTTTCCACTCCGTAATTACCCACATTAAGCACATGGGTGAGTCGACTTGCATGCTGAGATTTTAAGAAACCGACAAAGCCTCGCTGGCCACCCCACGGAACAAAAGTTTCTCCCCTGCTTGGCTCTGCATTGAAAAATAGGTTCCATCTACAAACAAAATAGGAGTCCCCACGGCCACCAGGGTCCAAAATGACTGTGCTACTCGAGCCTATCCATCCAACACGGTAAGAAGTCAGCCTGGGTGGATCAAGACTGCCAGCCTTTGCCTAAATCTCCGATGCCAAAATCGCACTTCTTTTTTTACGTGTGGAATCCCCGTCGTTATCTGGTATTTGCTTTGCTCTGAGTTTGACGGATTTTCTGCACCCAATTTATTGATATCTCCGTTTCTTTTTTAATCTTCTTTCTATCAAATAATGGGTAGGAGGCTCGAAAGTGGGACGTGGACCATTTGGACGAGAGCTGTCAAAATTTATGAAAGTAACTGAGGATTGGCATGGTAGGTCTTAAGGACCACATGGGCTTTATGAAGTACCACGGTTGAAATTAGCGTACACGACAATGAAAATAGGTTCTCCACCATTAAAAAAAGAGAAAATAACATCAGTCACCAAAAATACCTTATAATATACGATTTTAACCAATTTTTTTTGGATTTGCTAAAATGACCAACAAAATCGCAATGCGAAATAAAAATCGCAACGCGATCTCCAGAATCGCAACGCGATCTCTAGAATCGCAAATTAGTTCCTAGAATCGCAACGCGATTATGAAGAATCGCAATGCGATAGTACAAATTCGCATTGCGATTTTCCATAATCGCAACGCGAATATGAAAATCGCAACGCGAACATATAAATCGCAACGCGATTATGACTATCGCAACGAGTATCCGTAAAATCGCAACGCGTATCCGTAAATCGCAACGAGAATACGTAAATCGCAACGCGTATCTGTAAATCGCAACGAGAATACGTAAATCGCAATGCGTATCCGTAAATCGCAACGACAATACGTAAAATCGCAACGCGTATCCGTAAATCGCAACACGATTTTTAAAGCGTCATTATAATCGCTACGCGTATTTTATTTTCAAATTCCAAATACGAATATTAATTATCGGAACACTGAACCGTGCACAATATATCCCGTAATCGCAACTCATAACCTAAAACCTAAAAAAAATCACAACTCAATCCCATCTCCATCTCTCACTCTCTACGGCGAAATCTGTCCCCATCTCCGAAGATTTTCGCCCCCATCTCCGGCGAAATCCCTCACAACCATTCACGGTCAGAAATCCCTCACAATCATTCAAAAATGGAAAATCAACCTCCGAGGGTTAGTTTTTTTAATTATTTTTATTTTGAAATTTTTGCATTATTATAGGTTTTTCATATTGAAATTGATGATAAGTTTACTGATAATTTCAATAATAGATTAACCATTTCACTTAGATTTCTTATTAAATTCATTCGATTGCTGCCAATACTGCTAAACTGTTTAGTCTTTAACCCTGTGAAGTTAGTATTTGTCTTTGTTTTGTCTTTTGGTTTAAGTAATGCAATCCATTAAAGTTTCAATTTACAGAAGAAGAATAGTTTCTAAACTTAAAATCGCAACATGAAAATGAAAATCGCAACAAGAAAATGACTATTGCAACGAGAGAAATGAAAATCGCAACGAGATAATCGCAACGCGAACGCGAAACCAAAATCGCATTGCGATTTTCATTTCGCGTTGCGATTCTCTCGTTGCGATTTTCATTTCGCGTTGCGATTCTCTCGTTGCGATAGTCATTTCCGCGTTGCGATTTTCATTTCAACCAAAAGACAAAACAGTATTGCAAATTTTAGTTTCAAGAATAAACTACTACTCTTTATGTTTATTGTTTTTGGTATATCTTCACAGTGTAGTTTTTGGTATATCTAACTTGGTATGTTTATTGTTCTTGTAGAAATTTTTTCGGCTTCATTGACATTAAGGAATAAAGTTAGCCTAGCCACTACAATTGCTTCGAAGCTTTCACCTGCACAAAGAAAATTGTTTGAGGAAACATGCTTCGGGCCATGGCTGAGAGTACAGCATCCGGGTGGAGATGCTAATTTGACCCATTTGTGGCTTCAGACCATGACAAGCGATATACCCAACAATATACAACGTGGTGAGGAAGAGATATGGTTTCATTTTCCACCGGCGTATACTTGTTTTGGGCGGAAGGAGTTCTGCTTAATCACTGGTTTACGATTCGGACACGATGATGTAGGCCGGTACACTCGTCATATCATCCGCCCATCATGGTTATCCCGGGTTTTTCCTGATGAGTCAATAGAGAAGCTGAACTTACACGTCGAAGACCTGAAGAAATTGTTTAATAAGAAAGATGGTTTTACTCGGATGAATGACGTCGATGTTGTCCGAGTATGCCTTCTAGTACTTTTGTATGTCGGCTTTTTAGGTAGAGAGGCCAGACAACCTATTCCTCAGGAGCTAATATTATTGGTAGAGGACCTAAATGCATGAAATATGTTTCCGTGGGGTTCGTATATATGGAAAGCTACCTGGACTAAGTTGTCGTCTGACTTTGATGACCGCAAAAGTTTGCGTGGCGATGGGTCGAAATACACTTTGTCAGGCTTTGTTTGGGCCTTTAAGGTAAGATTTTCTATATAATGTTTTCAAAATTATAATTAATTATTTAACAATTACTAATGTTTGTTATTATATTGTTTGTAGATTTGGATATTTGAGGCTTTCCCCAGCATGCGGACATATGCATTAAAAACTTCAAATGATATTCCTAGAGCTATTTCCTGGAAGAGGAAACGTCTGTTGGATTGGGAAGACTTAATACCATATGCGACAATAAATAATGTAAGTTAACACAAATACTATCATATATAAACAAGTTATTAATAGTAGACGTTTAACTTTGTTTGAGTTTTTATATTTTTAGGAGGCCAACACTCCATTACAGAGACTGACACCCACGGAGGCTAAGCTTGCCACTGATTGGTGGTAAGCTAGTCAGCGTTTTTTTGATGGCACGAATGATGAGCAGCCTCCACTTCCTCCACTTCGAGAGCCATCACCTCACCCAGAGCCATCACCTGATCGACCTGACTATACACCTCTACAACGAGAGCCATCACCTATCCCGTCACATCATCGAGCCTCTTCTCCACCACCACCTCATGATAGGCGACCGACAAAGATGCCACGACTTCTATCTCCCTGTTCTCCACCTCCACGGGATGAGTCAAGGGAGTTACGTGATGAGGTCAATACCTTGCGTGAGGAGATCGGTACTCTACGCGATAACGATAGTGCATGGCGTGTGGAGGTATCTACTTTACGTGGTGAGGTTGCCACTCTACGTGAGATGGTAGTATCGTTGCAGAATGAGGTTCATACTCTACGCAACGAGGTAAGTTTAAGATTTTCCATATTTAACTTGATGATAAATTTACTCGTAATTTCACTTAGATTGCTTAGTAAATTTATTCGGTTGCTGCCATACTGCTAAACTGTTTATTCTTTAACACTGTGAAGTTAGTATTTGTTTTTGTTTTCACTGTTTAAATATCATGTCTGTTTATTTACTGATTTTTTAATTATTTAGCGGCCCGATAAGATGGATGCTTTACGTCGGGTTTTTCTTGCACGACGGAGTTCATGCATCAGATGGCGTGCACGTGCTATTAAGTCTCCGTACACCCCAATAGTGCGAAGACACCGCAAGAAGAAGCCCGACTCGCCTGTCATCCCTCAAGAGTCCACTCCTATCGTTGAAGAGGCCTCTATCATTCCTTGAGAGTCCCCTCCCACCGTTCAAGAGGCCACTGTCATCGTTGAAGAGGTCCCTCCCACCATTCAAGAGCCCGATTCACATGGCGTCATATGTAAGATTCTTGAGAAACCCTCTGACGTGTCGTACATGATGGATAAGAGTTGGCTCTCGTATGAGTTACCGGCCAGTACCATTCCGGTATCTGAAGTGGAGAGGAGACAACTACCGGACACAATTTTGGATAACACCCTTTGGGCTAAGACCGCAGTTGATTTTTATCTACATGAGCGGAGCCAGGGGTGTTTCACTGACATATGCAAGCTCAACGATGATATCTATTTGTTGCTTGATCGGTCTTGGTGGGGCGTATTATTAGGGGTCGAAGACAATGGTTATTTCGATGGAGGGGTAAGTCTTATATTTTTCTTATATTTCAATTTGATTATTTTTTTTAAAATTTATGTAAGTCACTAATATATGTCTTTTTTTGTAAAATAGCATATCGATGCGTGGGTGTCACGTCTTCTAATAATTAGGAAACTTAAGAAAAATAAAAGAAATACACGATATACAATTATGCCGACGTCTTTTAACGCCGTTCACTTGAAGAATCAACGAGATGAATTATTTGCGTTGGGCAATGGACAAGCTAAACTTTATCCTGCATGGTGGGAGGTAGATAAGGTTAGTATTTATTTTAGATTGA